GTGCAATCTTTTCATTACATTCATGTGAACATACTTCTATGTCCATACTTTGTATGCATATAGTATTGAATATGAGGCAAGCTTTTTAAGTTTTTTGTTTTAGATGTATCGAATTGATGGGAATTAACAGAGTTGGGTTAAAAGGCCCTCTAGCGACTCCAATTGGTAAAGGCCATCGTTCGCTGAATTTAGCAGTTAGAAAGTAAGTAATTACTGAATGTTGTTTGTCAACCTCTTTCGACATGATTAATGTTGTGGCAGAGTTTAGACAATGACATTGCAGAGAATTCAATCTTTACGCCAATGTTAGACCATGTCGCTCTTTGGTGGGTTTTAAAACACTCTATAATGATGTCGACGTTGTAACTATCAGAGAAAACACTGAAGGAGAATATTCAGGAATTGAACATCAGGTCTCATCTCTTGCATAATTAACCCTCAATGCATTTTCCTCCTGCAAAGAGCATTATCAGTTGCGAAGTCACTTTTTACTTGAATCACAAATTTTTTGCACAAGAAGGATTGATTTTTAATAAGTTATACTTTTGCACACATTTTTTGAAGCATTGACTTGCTCGACAGTCTAACACTCTGACTTCATATATTCTTTATTTTAGATTGTTGGTGGCGTTGTTCAAAGCATTAAATTAATAACGGAAAAAGCTTCAAGACGCATTGCTAAATATGCTTTTGATTATGCAAAAGATAATCGTCGAAAAATGGTAACTGCTGTGCATAAAGCAAATATAATGCGCATGTCAGATGGTCTGTTCTTAAATATGTGTCGTGAACAAGCAGCAAATTATCCTAGTATAAAATTTACGGAAGCGTATTTGGATACTGTTTGTCTGAATGTATGTATATCTTATCGTTTCTGATATGTCTTATTTAAAGTCATTGAATATAAAAGATGAACGAAATGTATTATGCATTATTAACCTTTTCAAGCTTTAGATGGTTCAAAATCCGAGTCAGTACGACGTATTGGTAATGCCTAATTTATATGGAGATATTTTATCAGACTTGTGTGCAGGCTTAATTGGAGGTCTTGGCGTTACTCCTTCCGGAAATATTGGTGAGAATGCAGCCATTTTTGAATCAGTTCATGGTACAGCACCAGATATTGCTGGAAAGGTGACGCCTTTTTCATTTTATCCATCTAAAAATTTTGAATTCAAGTATTGTTCCTTTACGCTCAAATCCAAGTAAAACTCATTTAGCAGTAAATACAAGTGTATTTGTTGTTAGTATTGAATAGAACTATAAAGATGATTAATTGCTGTCTGTAGAACAGTGAGTGCGGCACACGTATTTTAAAGTATTTTTTTAGACGAAAACATCTGCTTACATATTTTTTTGTTTTATTTGTGTTTTCGTTATTTGGTTTATTAAAAAAATTTTCAGGACAAGGCGAATCCCACTGCTTTGCTGTTATCAGCAGTGATGATGTTGCGTTATTTGGGATTGCTAGTATATGCCAACAGGATAGAAAAAGTAAAGTAGTCATTTCTTCATCTTATTAAGTATATATTTCACACTGATATATAAGTGTTCCTGTGATTACTATTGTCATGACAGTGTGATTTAGTTTGATCTTCGTTTATTGTTCGATAATACGTGAAATAGCTAAATACAATCTTTCAGGCATGTTTTGACGCAATTAAAGAAGGCAAAGAAGTTACTGCTGATTTAGGTGGAAATGGTACGTGTTCATCGTTTACAAACGATATTTGTGCACGTATACGAAATATGGATTAATGAAGTATTAATCAAATATAGATCAATATGTCCTCAGCTATGTTATGGTTTTCCTTTGTATCTCAAAGTGTGAAAAGACATCACACATCCTGTTCTGCGGATTTTGAATGGCTAAAAGTTTTCGTATTTCTCTATAGATTTGTATTTCAGTTTTCGATATTTGTTTTTTCAGAAATTTTTGTCATTTAATTCCAGCATGAAAAATATATTATTGATCCTAACATTTCTAGCTCAAATATTTCTGACGCTAACTTTATCATTCTAGTTTATAATTGTAATGTAATGCACTTTAGAATTGTGGGAAATGCTGCTGTAGAATATTTTTTCTTCATCATGAATCAAATGCTGCCATTTGTTCATGAAATTGTCTTCTCCTAATTATCAAATTCACATTATTGTATGACATGCTGTTAGCGTACATTTTTGAACCTTGGAATATAGCAGTTTATTTCAGTTACTGTTCCTTATTTATCTTACTTAACTAACACATTACTTGGTCATGTAGATAATTTAGTATTAGGAAATAAAAGATCTGAATTGACTTTAGGTAGGATTTATTTTTAATTTGCCGTGATTATTTTGAATGTTATTTTGTGTTTTGATAGCTGTTTCATTTATTGTCTTTTTGAACAGAGGCGAAATTCCCTCAGCATGTGACCATATGTCATCATAGTTGTTTGAGCTGATCGCATTGTTAACTTTGAATATTTTTCAGTTCATACTATTACTTTAGTCTTTCTGTTTGCTTCGCAGGTTATGCCACATGGAATTGGTGGTGTTACTGATGAGTTTTACTGAATTGAAGTAAATATTGAGATTTAAGTACTCAATTTATGCGAAATTTTGTCGGTTTTAACCACACATGTGTCTGTCAAATTCTAAGTCACTTCAGTAGTTTGTTTTATGAGCAGTGTTACTGCATATTCATTAAAATATTGCTAGTAGAGAATCTAGTGTAGTAAAATGTATTTTCAATAAATTATACATCACTCAAGTCAGAAAGATTTGTAACAAACATCTGAAATTTATGAGTGTTATTTGTATATGTATATAGCACCATATATGGAGGGATTGGTTTAGATTATCAAATGATGAGTAGTCATTAGTATTTGTATTTTTTGTAGTGAAGGATGGGACTGTGTTGTGTAGCGAAATGCTGATTCCAGATTGGTTTTGAGGAATAGAAAAGGAGCGTATGATGTAGACATTATAATAGTTTATTAACTTTAGCATTTGTCAGGAAGACAAGGAAAGTGGAAGGAAGGAGTGTGCAGAATTATCATGTGCTGCCAAAAAATGTGTGAAGCAATGGGCATAATTGAGGAAGACAAGTCAGTCAGTCATTCACTGCTGGTTGATGCCTGGGTAGCAGTCCCTCCAGTTTCACTGTTTCAATTTGGCTCATTGATTATCACCTTTATTACTCGAATTGTACTGCTATGATTTATTCGTTATTTGTTCATCGGAAGATCTGCAGTAATTTATATACTTGCATGCATCAGTAACTAAACTTGTAGCATTGTGTGGAATAAAAATAAGATCAAGTATTGGTTTGTTTGTAGTGATAAGGGAAAATAATGATTCACTAAGAATTGCTATGATTGATTGCGAACGCATTAGCATATTTTTGATTAATTTGAGTAAGTATTAAAGTGAGATGATGTGGTTGAGCACTAAAGTAAATCACTTTCTGCATCCTTTTCCATATGTGTAATTACAAGAATAGAAAGACGGAATGTACTATTTTTCTCGTCTATTTTAGTCATTCAAATTGAAATAAATAATTTGTTGAAAGTAAGTGGCAAAGTGAATTGAGTATTTGCTTCGTTCTTCTGAGCATATATTACATTATTCACTATTGGTTACTCATTTTTTGCATGCAATGTCTACGTATTTTATCAATTCTTACAGTAAGTAAATAGCAGAGTAATGTTTCATTTTTTATCTCATAATTAGAACTGCTCACATATTTATTCTAAGTTATTGTGCTAATTTAAATGATATATTTGGTTATATTTCCATCATGAAGTATGTTATTACCTTTTCAAATCTAAAATGATCCAGTATCATAAATTTGAAATTAATATTAGTGATGTGATGTGAAGGATCGTGCATGAATTAGTAGTAAGCAAATTGTAGTTATGTTCCAAAAAATTTGAAATCAATTTTGA